ACACAAGCATACCTGTGATGCTTGCAAACCCTAAACCCTAAACCCCCCGAATCCTTAAACCCGAAGCCCGACCATGGGAGGATAGCCGTCAGCGCCTGATCCTGGATCGAACTAACGTGGTCAAGAGCGACCGCCAGCGCCGAGCCATGGAAACCTCGGGGTCTAGCGTTTGGGGTTTAGAGTTTGGGGTTCGGGGTTTAGGGTTCGGGGTTTAGGGTTCGGGGTTTAGAGTTTAGGTTTCGGGGTTTAGGGTTTGGGCTTTAGGGTTTAGGGTTTAGGGTTTGGGGTTTAGGGTTTGGGGTTTAGGGTTTAGGGTTTGGGGTTTAAGGGTTTTGAGTTTAGGTCTAGGCGTTTGGACCTAAGCCTTTGTGCACCCTTATGAAACACTTGCAAGTTACAAAACCTGGTAGGGATTTTTCAGACCTAATAAACCCTCCGAAGACATGTATATCTGTGACCCTAAATCGTTACGCCTTGAAGCCCTATGTAAAAACCCTCCAAATTCCGAAAACCCCAAAACGTTCTTCCTTGAGATTTCTTGAGCCACAACCTCATAAAACCCTATCAAGGCGTACCAAAACGTTCTCAATTCTGGAACAACCACATGATATGAAGCCTGGTAAGCTCAATGTTGCACCCGCTTGAAATTCCCCTTCTGCGGGTGCCTCCTCAGCCCCTAAGCTCCCTAGACCCTTAAGAAAAAGCCATGCAAACGCAACAGCCCTCAACTCTCAACCCTCAATCCTGAACCCTCTAATTAAATGAAGCCTACAAAACCTCTCACAACCTAAAGCCCCCCAAAACCCAAAGTCACTAAACTCACAAATCCTTACAAACCGGACACCCCACGAAAGCCCCAAGCCCTAAACCCTAAAGCCGAAAATCCCAAACCCCTAAGCCTTACGCACCCCTAAAACTCACCCCAGAAAGGTGCTTCCTCAGCCTCGCCTTCAAGCCGAAGTCAGCAGTTCTGGCCTCAGCCGGGTTCGCGTGGACAGCTTTTGCAATGGTTTCAGAGGGCTTTCGTTTTAGGGTTTGGGGTTTAGGGTTTAGCGCTTGAGGTTTAGGGTTTAGGGTTTTGGGTTTGGGGTAAAG